ACCCTGCGGAGCCACTGGCAGCTGACAGCACTGGGCGCTGTGTCAGGCCACAAGGGCTTGGCCCCTTGGACCAGTGTGATGGGCGAGGGCACATCTGGAGGCCTGAGCACATTTTTCACACTCCATTAACACAAAGACACCGAAAACCTGGAGGGAGTTCTGAAGGCCATAACAAGGACTATTAAGAGACTTGAAGGAGGTGCTTTATAAAGAGAGGATTAAGGCAAAGGTCAACACCCTTGGAGATGGGTAGAAACAGTACAAAATGACCCAAAAAGTAAAACAAAGAAGAAAGGGTAGGAATAACAGGGTATGGCTGCCCTAAGAGAAAAACCACTAAAAGTAGCAAGAAAAATTTTAAAAACTAATTCAGCAACAAAATGGAAAAAAATAATAAATATAGCCAGGCACTGGTGGCTCACACCTGTAGTCCTAGCAACTCAGGAAGCAGAGATTTGAGGACAGTTAGTCTGAAAGTCCATAAAACTATTATCTCCAGTTAGCCAGCAAAAAGCCAGAAGTGGAGCTGTGGCCCAAGCAACAGAGTACCAACCTTGAGTGAAAAAGCTAAGGCCCTGAGTACCCAGGGCCACCCAGGCTCTGAGTTCAGGTGTGTGCGTGTGTGCACACACACACACACACATGCACACACACACACACACACAGAAACAAAGAAACCAAATGGAGGAACAGTTTGTTTTCACAAAATATGTCCTATTGTGAATACATAATTCAGAAGTTGATAGAAAAATTTCCTTGCACTGTAGAATAGTAAACTATTTATAATGAGAAGACAGGATAAGAAGGATAAGGGTAATAGTTTGCTGACAACAATAATAATATTAATAATAAATAGCTGATAATAATAATAACCCTGGGAGGTGTCCTTTTGAAGTGCCCACCTATGGATCCTAACATGTGGTCCCCATCCAACCCCTCCACTGTTATTGTTCTCATCATTTGTGGCTTTACAAAGGAGACTGGAGTGGGAAGAAGTAGAAGAATTGGCCTGCAAGTAGATAGTTAGCAAATAGCAGAGCCAGGATTTGAACCAGGGCAGGTTGGCTATGTTTACATCCTAAAGCACTGGACTTTTTTGTTTTGTTTTGTTTTTTTTTTTTACTGCTTTGAAGACAGAAGGACCTAAATATAGGATAAACTTTTGAGGATGAGGAAGTGACCAAAGAAGAGAGCTGGATTCAAGGTTACCATATATACAGCTGTTGTAAACAGAACTTTTGGGTGGGATGGGATCTGGGTCTGCTGCTTGTCCATTCCAAGTCAGAAAAGAAAAATGATCCATTCTTCACTCTTGTGAAAAGGCCAAGTAGTTTCTATAAGGACAAGAATTCTTCTCGCACATAGTCAGACCAGAGAGAAATACAATTATCAGAGGCTAGGTCCTCCAACTCTTTTTCTTGCAGGGAACCCAGCAGCTTGGTTAAACAGAAGTCCTTACGCAGCAGTCATGTGGCTTGTTGACCTCTTGACTGGCTCATGCATTCATGGGTTCGACAAGAAAACATCTGTATTTGATGTTGGTATAATTTGTGGAGGGAAGGGAAAAAACAAATTGTTTAAATACGGATACAGGTGGACCCATTGTAACAATGAGATGTACAAGATGTTATGTAGAAAAATGAACTTTACAACTTTGGCATGGGGTGGGGGGGTTGGGGGTTGGGGGGCAGGGAGATGGGAAGGGATGGAAAGGGGAAACAAAGGAGGAGACAACAATGCTTGGTAAGAAATGTACTCATTATCTTGCTCATGTAATTGTAACCCCTCTGTACAGTATTTTCACAATAAAAAAAAAGAAAAAAGCCATCCTGTCAATAAAATAATTCAAATGGAGGTGTTCCATGCTTCTCAGACTGAAGCCCAGATTGTTTCCTAGGCAAATAAAACTAAAGAAACTGAAGTTCTATGAAAATATTTTAAAAACTAAATCTGCTTTTAAAACGTCATTCAAGTGAAAACACAGAAAGTTATATGTCTACAATTATAAGATTTTTGAAAGACATTGGGTCTGTGAGCCTTGGTGCAAGGAACAGACATGGCAGAGTCTTATGCTTCCTTGTACCGAGTACAGGGGTGGAGTGGGGTTTACAGAAACCATGCAAAGGCAATGTTTATCCTCAAAAAGCTCCATGCTTGTAATCTTAGCTGCTTAGGAGGCTGAGATCTGAGGATCATGGTTCGAAGCCAGCCAGGACAGGTCTAATGGACTCTCAGAAAAAGCTGAAAGCAGTGCTGTGGTTGAAGTGGTAGAGTACCAGCCTTGAGCAAAGAAAGCTCAGGGATAGTGCCCAGGTCCTGAGTTCAAGTCTCAGGACCAGCACACACACACACACACACACACACACACACACACATACACGTTCCCACTGTAAGAGATTGAGCTTTTACATGAACCTGACCTTGTTACAAGAGAGAATAGGAGGATGGCATTAGAGAACAAGAACCAGGGCTGAGGAAGCAAGGCAAACTCCTTCAGTTATGAGAAGCATGACCTCTGTGCTAGCATCCAGGGCAAATGGGGAGAGCAGTAGCAGCAAGGAAGGAGAGGTAGAGACCAGGAACCCACCAGCTGAAGAGCAGGAGGATGAGAAGAGACATAGGAGGTGGACTAAAAAAAGGAGTTTCTCAAATCCTTGGGTGAGCTATAGAATCAATCTTGATTTTTCAGGAAAGAAGGGGCACCTTAGATTATGATGAACATGCCTGTAGCTTGTTTGACTTTGCAGTCTGCATTAGTCTGCTTCTGCATTAGAAGCTTCTGAGCTGGTGGTGTTCAAGTCATCAGAAGAAGATGGAAAGAGGTGGAGCCTACAGGAGGTATCAGCTACTCAGCCAGAGGAACATGGGCGTGGGTGAAGCAGAGGAGGCCATGGGCTGAAGAAATTGGAGGGGTGGCTATTGTCACTCAGGGAATTAAAGAACATCTGACGAGTGAAGGGAAAATGGTTAAGTCCATTATGGATGACGGCTATAACGATGGAATAGTCAAATGGAGATGTTCTACAGGTCGTTGTATATCAAAGATGAAAACAAGCTAAAAGCTATATAGTAGGGATACAGATAAGATGTTCATTGAGTGATTTTAAGATTCAGAAACCTACCCATACCAATAAAGTGACCTGATTCTAGATCTGGTTTTCCTTATTTCTTTATTCATTTATGTATTTATTTTCATCTCAAGCCAGTCTTCTTTGAACTACCTTTTTGCCAGGTGTCTAAATGGTATCACCTATGAAACTTGCCTACTTACAGCTAAGTGTGGTAAGTCATACTTATAATCTCAGTACTGAGGAAGCTGGCAACAAAAAGTGATTTTGAGGCCAGCTTGGACTATATAGAAAGACTTTGTTTCAAAACTGGAAACTGGGGGTGGTGGCTAAAGTCTCTAATCCTATGAGGCAGAGATCTGGGATCATAGTTCTAGGCCAGCCCATGCATAAAAGTTGGAAAGACTCCATCTCAACTAATGGCTGGGCACAGTGGTTCACACCTGTTATCATAAGTACAGGGGAAAGACAGTGTCTGGGTGCAGTGACATATGACTGTCATCCTCCATAACAGGAGGTAGCATAAGTAAGAAGATCCCAGCTCAGACCTGGCAGGGTCTCAAAACCACCAAAGCATTAAGGATCTGGGTGTGGCTCGGCTAATAGAGCTCCTGCCTAGCAAGTGTGAGGCTATGAGTTCAATTCTCAGTATTGCCAAACTTAAAGCAATAACATCAACACCAATAATAAATTAATCATAATAAATAACACCTGCTTTATGAACCTGGGAAATGGCTTCAACAGAGAAAACATCTGACTCACTAAAGAACATGGCCTCTCCCTGCTTTATAAAAACTAGGATGTGTGTATGTATAGCTGTATATATAGGTGTATATGTATGTATACCCATGTCTCTCTCTATATATATATCTGTAAGCTAAAGTTTTCTTGCTAAATTGGTTGATCCAGTATTTATGTTTACCCAGAATGGTGTTTCTTGATGCCTTTTTCCTAGTGTCATTGAAAGAATTATAAGTAGCACCCTCTTCTTCTCTCAAATTGTTAGGATTAACACTACACATTTGCTGCCACCCTTCTGGTATTTTTAAGGGTTTGGCTTCTGTAGTATCTCAATCTGTTCCTAAATTTTTAATCTCACTTTTCTTTTCCCTCTTTCTTATGGTCATCTTACACGAGAACAAAGGCACCATTATCCCTCTCAGAAAAGCTTAACCAGACGTGTTACATGTGGCCCTCCTTGGGTATGATAGGCCAAATCTACCCAGGTGAGGCCTTTCCAGGGCCCCTTTCAGTGACCATCGGTGCTTTCATGGCCCAGAGGCCACTATTGCATCACCATTCTATGAGCAATGAACAATTTCGAGTCACTTTATCTTACCACAATTTGCATGGGCATAAACAGATTTTATCATGGTTCCATACTTTGAAAACTTTGTTCTCTCTGTATCTGAGAACCATGATGAATGTTACAGTAATATCTCTGTAATTCCCAACACTCAACTTGTCAGAGAACTTAATTTTGTCACAAAGACTGAACCTTCAGTTCTCCAGGAATTGGCCAATGGTAACTCACCCTAGCTCTTTCCCGGATTGTTACATCAACTTAACAAAAGACTATATTCTGGTTTTCTTCCAGAAGTACCAGAAGAAATAGATTCCCTAAGGTGCTATAATGATTATGGCTATTTTATTGAACCATAATCCATATTATTCAGTGCTACTTACATTGAGTCAAAAGGAAAATGTGTGTGTGTGTGTGTGTGTGTGTGTGTGTGTGTGTGTGTGTGTTACTGTGCCAAAGGATTAGAGAGCTATATTATACCAGCATTATTTTGGCATTGCTGCTACCTAGATTAATTTTCATCTTGCCATTTCTTTTTCAAGTCATCATTACATATTTATGCATCTTATTTATGATTAATCATTTCACATGAGATGATCCTTTTTTTTCCTTCTTCCTCCCCATTGCAGCCTTTTTTGGAAAATACCTCAATGAATATAATGGCAGCTACATCCCTCCTGGGTGGCGAGAATGGCTTGGATTAATCAAGAATTCTCGTTTCTATAATTACACTGTTTGTCGCAATGGTATCAAAGAAAAGCATGGATTTGATTATGCAAAGGTAATTTTCAAGCACTTTTACACTGCATCAATTTGCTTTGTGCATAATGGGGAAAAGCCATTTTCAGTGAGTTAAACTATCCACAAGATTGGCTTTCTATGTTCTCACAATGTTAGAATGAGAAATTTCAAGGTAATTTTCAACTCCAAGCAAGAAAGACTCTGTTCAAATAGCACTGCCTTTGTAGAGTGGTTTTTTTTTTACCCCCCTCATTAGGATGAAAGGCAGTCAGCTTTGATGAAAGTATCATCAAGACAATCATACATCATCTGCTCTGTCTTGTAATAATTTCTGTTTTCCTTCTTTCTGGATGGCTTGTCCCCATAATCAAATGTTCATCTTGGACTCTTTTTTTTGCGTTTCAGTGGGTTGAAAGTATACTTTGGCTTCAGATTTAGATGTAAAAGTAAGGGCAGTACAATGATTAAAGGGTGAGAACCCACATTACCTGCTTTTACTTCTTTCTGACCAATCTTAGCAGACATGTGACAAGGGCACCTGTCCCACAGCAGGCAGGAAAAGACTGCAGAAGGGCCTCAGTCTCTCAGCCATGGGGTTTCCAAAATCCATTCATGGAAACTGAAATTAACATGTCCCTTGTGTCTCTAACAAGTAGATCGATCCTACATTTGACTTAAAAAATCACACCGGTGTTGTGATTGCTAACTTAAATATAACTTTTTTTTTTAAGTAAGGGGAAGATATCTTTCTGTGTAACCGTTACTTTGCTTTAGATACTCCCTTTCTGCTTCTATCCATCTCTTCCTCATTTACCTAAGAGAAGCCAAGAATCTGCTGTATCTAGCAACCCCTCCCAAAGGCTAGAACACTTGGTAGAAACAGCAAGAGGGAATTTGATTAAATGTTGTTGGCAGAAATGGAAAGGGGAACTTGATTTAATGTTTTTGGCAGGTTGCTGGGTCTTTATTCTTGGCTCAGTTGAAGTGCAAGGGACTTGGAGGGCGATAAGGTACAAATTGGGATCTTTCAGACCCTTCAGAAAGCAATGAATGCAAATGAATTCACAAACACTTCTAATAGACTTTGAGACTCATCAAAGCAGAGAGCTGACAGGGACCTTGGAGGCAAAATTAGAGTCATGTCCTCATTTTAAAAGATGAAGAAAATCAGGCTGGAGTAGTTCAACCCCTCACAGACCCCTGGTTCCTTCCCTGGGTGTGGATATCATTTTTGCATGTGGACAACGTGTGCCACAAGCCCTAATCATCAGTGCTATCCTTTTCTATCTGTGGGGATGCTTTCCATGCTTCTTATTCAAGCTATTAACCTTCCATTCCCTGTTGTACTAAGGAGAGCAAAGTAATCAAGATTCTCTCCAAATACTAAATCAGCGTAACTTGCTCATTATCACAGCCGATTAAGCATCAAAGACAACTGTGTCCAAAAAGAACGTGTATCTTTTTTTTTAAATAAGTGAGGGAAGAAATGGAACAGACACCCCATAGAAGAAGGGGCCAGCCTGTGAGCGTGTCCTAACAATGACATGTGACATAGATTTTTGCCCCTCTTGCACTGCTTTTGCAGCTGTTCTGGTCCTTAAATCTACAACATATGATTTAGCTATGCCTGGAAGTTTTTGACATTGTGAACATTGCCTAGGACTTTCTGAGTCAATTTTATACTGGAGCTCCATGCCAGGGATACACACGTAAAGGCAGCAGGTGGTTCAATTTACGTTTTCATCTTTTCTTTTCTTTTTTTTTTTTATTTCACTTCCTCCCTCCCCCTTACTGACTTGCATGAGCCCTCCCCTGACTGTGGGTTAAGTCATTTTATTAGCAAGTCAGGCACTAATCCCAGCAGCTGTATTCCTTTAGTTGTGCAATTAACACAGTATAATCGGCAGGAAATCAACTGCTCCCTATATTTAAATGTTTCAAGTTTAAATTAATTGATAAAATGTTGCAGCTTTTCCCAGGAGCCTGGACTGGGGGCTATGGCTTTGATTAGAGATTATTGTGTTATCCCCACAGGTGAAGTTTTAATTGAAAGGAAAGATCTGTTCTCATTTTTTTTGTGCACTTCTATATGCATTAGTGTGTAAATTTCTTTGTGTGTGTGTGTGTGTGTGTGTTCCACAACTATGAATTTGATGTGGGTGTGGGTGTTTCCTGCCCTTGAAGTAATTAAATTCATTGCCAACGAATTACATCAAGGAAACCTGAGAATGAAATATGTATCCGGTATTTCATGTGTTCTTGCACTTGTATTGCCAGCTCTGATCATTATCTTGGGCAAACACGACTTGCCTTTTTTTTCTCCTTCCCTAATTGCTAAATTGTGCATTACTTAAAATACCTTTTTTGTTTGCATGTTCCTCAGCCAGCAACCCTAGAACTTAATGGCAACTGATTTTCTCTTTTCTTGAAGATGTTGGTGCTGCCTTGGGAGGTACCATTTTCTTTCCTGCCTCAGACCTTCCCTCAGCGTTCAGTGAGTTGCTCTGAAGAAAGCAGTGCTCAAATGTGATCTGATGACTGTCACTTTTTGTAATTTTTGTTTTGTGTCAAATGTATGTTTCAGGACTACTTCACTGACTTAATCACTAACGAGAGCATTAATTACTTCAAAATGTCTAAGAGAATGTATCCCCATAGGCCCGTAATGATGGTGATCAGCCACGCTGCGCCCCATGGCCCCGAGGACTCAGCTCCACAGTTTTCAAAACTGTACCCCAATGCTTCCCAACACATGTGAGTACCCACATCAACCCTCCACCCTGCCAGTCACCGCCTTTCTCCCCACCCTCTCTCCCCCTTAACCCATTTCCTTTCACTCCACCTATTCTACCAGCAAGGCAAAGATGCCAACGTTCACCATGACAGGATAATAGTTTACATGCTTACCGCAGCCACAGACCTGATAAAAAGAGCCCTGTCTAGGCGATTTGGTTAAGAATCATATAGCCCACGTCTACAGTAACTTCTATGAAGTGACACACATCGAATGAATGGGGGCATTTTTTACTGAGAGCTCTCTTTCCATGTGTTAAGGAATGTTCATTGTGTGGTCTCATAATGATGATGCTGATAGGGTGGTATGCTTTCCATAGAAGCAGAGTGGCCATGCAGGACTGTCTGTCTGTAGAAATGTGGGTTTATTTTCTGGGTGAATATTCCAGCTGCCTTGTTGTGCAATTAGAGTTGTGCAGAAGACAGTTTGAGTGTTTTGCTCTGGAGCCCTTCTCAGGCCATGGCTCTCAAATAACCTGTTTCCTTTTGAGAAGTTATGCAAGGTAGTCATGTAAGGGGGAGGTGCAGGGGAGGACCTAATGGCTGAGAGGGAAGACAGGGAAAGCAGATGATCCTCACTAGACATGGGTGGGAAGTCTGGGCACCTTGGCAGCAAAGAACATGGTTTCCTTGTTGACTCTGTCAACGCTGTTTCTCCCAGCCACTGCAATCAATATGTAGTCTTCCATTCAGAGCAACTAGCACGGGATCTGCCAAAAACTCATCAGTTAGAAAGGCAGGGAGAAGAAATGGATAACTACTTCCTTTATCACAGGCCTCCAAAACTGATAAATAGTGTGCATAAAGAGCACACTGCCTTTCCAGCCACACAAACTTTAGAGACAAGGTATCAGATGGAAAGAACTTTTGGAGATAGAAAACTGCTGAAGGCAATCTAGTTGCTTGTTATTATATATGCCAGAAGAATTTCTTTCTATCCTTTATTTTGTGTGTGTGTGGGGGGGTGGTACTGGGGCCTGAACTCAGGGTCTGGGCCTTGTTAACTTTTTCACTCAACACTGGTGCTCTACCACTTGAGCTATATCTCCAATTCTGGTTTTTTACTAGTTAACTGGAGACAAGAGTGTTAAGGATTTTCCTGCCCAGATGAGCTTTGAACCTTAAGGCTTGGATCTGAGTTGCTAGGATTACAGGTGTGAGTCACTGGCACTTGGCCAACTCTTATTGTATGTCTTCTAGTAACTAAGTGATGAATGCAGATTATCTCTATACTAGAAAGAAGTTCAGAGCTGATTCAGAGCAGGATTGAATATGAAGGCAGGTAATCACTTATTGCAAGTTGGAAGACCCAAGCCTGGTTTTTGTTATTGTTGTTGTTTGTTTTTATGGTACTGAAGTTTGAATTCATGAACTTGGGCTTACTAAGCAAAAGCTCTGAAAATCTTTTTTTTTTTTTTGAAAATCTTCCCTGCATATAATTTGCATCTAAATTCATGAAGGAAGCACTTGGCAAGAGGGTATCAGTTAAAATTTAGTAACCAGCTGACTTGGGGAAAGAAAAAGGTCTCAGAGATTTTCCTGGATAACCAAGAAACTCACTCACCCTTCTTCCTTTTCTTGTGAATCAGAAATCACATGTGGAGCCTCCTTGGTTGCATTTTCAAAATCCCAACCTAAGATGACTTCCTACAACCATAACTTTACAGGTGTTTCCTTGAGTTTGCAGAGAAAGGATTGATAAAATACGGCATTTTATGATTCCTTAGAAGTCAGCCTGCCTTTGAAGCTTCAAGTCAAGGACCTAAGCCTGTGGGAAAATCAGCCATAGGTCAAGAGGTTCTGACAGCACGGCTGCATGACAATAATTGCACAAGGGAATCTATTGCGATCTCTGTACCTCAACAGTAGCTTTGAAAAAAAAGAATCTCTGATTCCTACAGTGCAGCATTCCATTTCCTTCCTCAAGTGTGTATGAGTACTGCCTATGTTGCAGAGCTGCTCATGTTACAGGACAGCACAGCCCACAGACAGGCTGAGGAAGACATTATGGCTGATATTCAGAAATCAGAAAGTGAGCACAGGGGTCAACACAGTAGAGTCTACTATCCAAGTCTAGCTTGCTACTAGTTTGTATTAATAAAGATTTATTGAAACATTGCCATACTCATTTGTTTATGTATCATCTATTAATGCTGAGACCTTGAAGACTAAAATATTTATTATTTCATTTTTTTGACGAGTAAGTTTGTTCAACTCTGTTTAGGAAGGAGACAGGCAAGTATCCAAGGCCAGTACAGAACAGGTCCCTCATGGGGTTATGTAACTTTGTAGTGAAATTGCTTGGACCAAAGGGGATTCAAAAGGGGGCTCAAAAGATGAGGAAAATCTGAGTATAGTAGTGCATGCCTGTAATCCTAGCTACAGGCATGAGGCAGAGAGAGGAGAATTCTCTAGTTGAAGTCCAGCCAGGCCAACATAGCAAAACTAAAGTAAAAAGGACATAACTAATGTGCTAAAGTGCTCGCCCACCATGTGCAAGGGCCTAGATTCAATCAACAAGACTTAAAAGGGGTGGAGAGGTGTTTGTAGATGATGCTCCAGATATTGAGTGGATGATTTCAGGGAAAGACTATTGCCTAGGCAAGGGTCACTGTATAAGTAGGTCAATCTAAGATGTGACTGAGACCTGCAGAATGGAATGGAATACAAATAAAGCAGTAAAGCTCAAAAAGAAAAGGCTCACAAAACAATGGGAACTTAAGCAAGTTTGCACATTCACTAGAACAATAACAAAGTATCAGTCCACTTTGTCATTCCCACATGCAAATAGGGTCATCTCTTTTTCTTCCAACTGAACCAGCTGTGCCCTTACCATTGATTCTAGAGGTGGCAGAATGAAAATATTCAGGCCTGGGCAGGAAACAAGCCTGCTTTCCTGCCTCAGTGGCCCTCACTAAACCCTGAGTAGTTTCTTTCACCTCTCAGAGTCTTGAGGGTCTCATCTTTAAAATGGGGTAGTAGCTGCACCATGATGTGATGCGGTGAGCAAGAGTTCAGAGAGTCAGCATGGATCTACCCCCTCCCCATTACACCCCCATCCCCCAAGTCGGGGATGCAGAAGCCACTCCATCCCATCCGTGCTAATTCTTATTAATCCTTTCTACCAAGAAGAACCCTATACAACTGCCAACCTATTATCCCTCTTGCCTCACAACAAGTACAATATTGTACTGTTCAACTTAAAGGTTTAGAAGAAACAGGTAGGGAAGAGACAGTTCCAAGCCTGTCTATGGTTGACACAACACATCTCTTGACAAGCTAAGATTGAATTGTGGTGAACCTCTCAAGATGGCCATTATAAAAGGCCAGACAAGACTAGCCCCTATCTGGGCTGTGTTGACCTCTAAGTAGACATAATGAAGCTATGGCAAAAGCCAGGATTTTTGTTTGTTCTGTTTTGCTTTGTTTTTGTGTTGGTACTGGTGTTTGAACTCAGGGCCTGGGCACTGTTCCTGACCTTTTTCCTCAAGGTTGTCGCTTTACCATTTGAGCCACAGCTCCGTTTCTGGCTTTTTGGTGGTTAATTGGAGATAAGATCCTCACAGATTTTCTTGTCCTGGCTGGCTTTGAATCATGATCTTCAGATCTCAGCCTCCTAAATAGCTAGGCTTACAGGCCTGAGCCTCCACCACATGGCACAATTGTCAGTTTAAATAACATTATGAGCCATGGAAAATGAAAATTCATGGGGTTGGTGGGGAATTTCTCTTTAAGCCTTGGGCTTCCTGCACCTTGTTTGTGTGAAGTGCTGTTTCCAGCAGGCTTTGAACTCCAGGCATCTCTGTTGTGAAGGTCTCCCTGGCTGTTGCTGGAGGAAGGGACTGGAGGGAGGGAGTGTGTGCCCATGTGGAAGGCAGTGAGTGCCCAAGTTCAGAGTTCAGAGTTCAGACAAAGGAAGTGAGACAAATTGAAGACAAGTTGTCCATTGTGGTGCATGGAGCTACTGAATGGCCAGTTTCCTTAGCAAAAACATTAGCAAGGCATTCAAGCAATGAGGATGCAAGAAGTTAAGTGCTTTGCGGAATATTTAGCAGGCTCTGTGAAAACAGACCAGAGCTGTAGCCTGTCCCCTGTTGTGTGCAAGGTAGTCACGTGAACATTTTGCTTTAGGTCTTCCTAGGTGGTCGAGCATCACCCATCCCAGTCAGCCAGCCTTGGCTTACAGCTATGTGACTCTCTCAGACTGAGGCCAATGTATGGCGTTGCCACGGTGTTTGCCCCTGTGCAACAGAGAAAGCCATCAATGTCAGCCTACTTACTGGCTTCACAAACTGAGGGGAATGAGAGCAGGCTAGCGCCCCCTTTAGTACTACTCAATCAGACACTAAGCCTCGTAGAAATCTGGGAAGATCTCCAGTGGAAAAACTTACATCATAAGCCTGGTCATGAAGCCCAATGAATCCTCTCCCCCATGTCCCACTGAGCTGTCATGGCATCAAGGAAGCTAGGATTGCATTATTGCCTAGCTCCCCTTCAGAAAAGTCCTTTTGTTGTTGTTGTTCTTTGCTGTTCCAGTTGTTTGTTTCCATACAACACATACACACAGGCACATATGCCTATATTTGCTTGCACACTGGCATGTGCACTCTCTCTCTCTCTCTCACACACACACACACAGAGGTTCATTCAAATGACCCCTAAAATCTTAGTGGACCAAGCCATGTCTGCCAATTGGCAAGAATTGTTGTGAGAAGAGAGGAGAGTATACTATGTCAAAGGAAAATATACGTCTGTACATGCTACAGGATAAAGATTTTCCAATGTGTTATCTAAAGCTGGAAAGTAATATCTTGCCTTAAAATGAATTTGCACATTCTTACTGCATTTCTTGCACAAATTTATGAAAGGTAATGCTTTTGAGGATAATAATTGAGCATACAACACTAAAGCTCTCTTTTGTATATCCCTCCTTTGTTCTTTACATAACACTGCTCCCTCAG